TTAATGTGACAGCGTGATGCTGTTAGTGAGTTTCACAGGTGCTTACCAATACTTGGCTGTGTAGCCGCGCGATGCGGTTCCAGTCGAGGCCCACAAATTGACCCTTGCTCACCATAGAGTCTCCAGTAGCTCAGTGGTTAGAGCATCCGACTAGATCACGGAGGGTCGTGGGTTCAAGTCCCATCTGGGGCTCGGATTTTTTCTATTACACTAAAAATTGTTTCATCTTTACATGCTCACTTTGGAGGTTGGTTGGCCGCATCTTGATATGCCTTAATGTGACAGCGTGATGCTGTTAGTGAGTTTTCACAGGTGCTTACCAATACTTGGCTGTGTAGCCGCGCGATGCGGTTCCAGTCGAGGCCCACAAATTGACCCTTGCTCACCATAGAGTCTCCAGTAGCTCAGTGGTTAGAGCATCCGACTAGATCACGGAGGGTCGTGGGTTCAAGTCCCATCTGGGGCTCGGATTTTTCTATTATAATAATAAAGTCTAAAAATTTACTGGTTAAATAACTGGATGAAGATGCTACATTTTCTGTTCATAGTTCAGTTTTTATAAAAGCATCAACACTGGCTTTTCAAGGTTTCAGCAGACACTGTATCTCATGGCCTCAGCAAATCACTCTGCAATGATCGATTCAGTGGCATCAGGCAACTTTGTTTTCTTCAGCAACTGATGCAGTGCTTTCATTAGAATATGGAGTAGATGGCTACCTCAGTAAAGCACCTGCCAAAGAATAATATGAAAAACAATTTCCCTCTTGTAAGCCCATTTTTTCCATACAGAACAAGTTAAACTGCCTTCAAGCTGAGTTTTTGTAGTTAAACTTATAAGTATATAAGAATATAAGTCTCCTTTGTAACAATTGTTTGACTGATCACTTTATTTCTCCTGATTGCAATTGAAAATAATCCACTCAGTCTTTTAATTGCCTTAACACAGAATGCATTTTTTGTGCTCCAATTTTTTTCCTTTGTTAAGGATGAAATTAAAGATATGTGGCAATGAATTCCATGAATTGAATTTATTGGAAAATCCTCTGGATTATTCTCATTGTTACTGTTGCATTGTGTTAGGATTGTCCACACAATGCAATTTAACTAAATCAATTAGTTAATGAATTCCAACTGTTTCCAAGGCTCGTGTCGGGTCATAAACAATCGTTAAGCCCACACTGAAATTTAAATTTAAGATTCACAGTATGTTAACATCATTTCTTCTGAAAAAATGTATAGAGAGAATTTAGAAAAAGTTTAGATTATGAGATTCAATGGTTAACCACAAATATAAACAAGTAAAAGTAAAGTAAAGTCTGTTTACGAGCTAAGTGGCCCATTAGGCCGGTGCTTAACTCCGGTTTCTGTAGCATGAAGCGACTAGGAGTATTT